GCGACAGTAGCATGTTTACAGGGTATGGACCGGGAAGGCGAAAGGTTGTGGATTCTACTACTAACACATGCATTTTAAGCTTACCAGAAGTAGTTCAAGAAAATTTTGGTTAAATTAATTAATAAAATAAATAATATTTTTTAATGTGACATAATATCTTTATTATTATAAAAGTTGATGTATTTGTGCCAATTAAACTTGTCTTATCAGTATAACCAAATTTTGTTGGTTGTTTGTAAAAGCTGTATGGAGTTACTACTCTGTTATTACGGTTATTACTCTCTTTCGATCTTATAACTCCTTCCAAGTCTTTTGCAAAATGACTAAGTCTTAGAAATTCATAACAATTGTCTGATTTTTTAAATCTTATTATAAATTGTAATTATAATTGAAATTGTAAGGTCGCTTATTAAGACCTCCAGAAATTTTAGCCTGTTATTCTCTGAGAAGACGTTTTTGCTAATCGGTGTAGATTTTAACTAGGAGGAACAACTCTAAATTGAATAAAAAGTATTAACTTTGATTTTAATAGGAGGAACATGAGGAGAAAATTAAGTTCTAAAATTCAAGTTAAATTATTCATAGTGAGGCTCATGTTTTGCCTGTTATAAAGGACAGCTTTGAATACAGAAATAAGCAAAAAAATCTGTTATCTTAAAATGTATAAATTACTTGTCACGTTGTTTGTCCGCGATGGACTCCCTAAACTACGTTTCTCTAATGTACTTAACGATTTTAATCAAATTTGCACACCGTGTGGAGTTTGTTCCAACTTGAGAGATAGGATAATTTTTTTGCCCAAGAGTGTCCTACAATTTTTTTTGCGAATTTAAGTATTTTTAATAGGACATGGCGGGGTCGTCGAAAAGGGCCTTTGCACAAATTTCCAATGTACCAATTTAATATGGGAATTAATCATATATTTTGTTTGAATTCCCAAAAACATTATTTATAGTACACAATATATATTAATTGTTTACCTACACCAACACTTTCATTTTTTATTTCACCCCTTAGAACTTTAGATGTGTGTAATGTTTAACTTTATACATTAGTTTACTGTTATTGTGGCAGGACAAACTGGTTGTGACGTGTGTGATGGACCAAATTTTGTAACAAATTTCATAAAATCAGTCACAGAAATATGTAATTGTGATTTTAATCAGATCACATGGTGCTTTGATGAAATGCAACCTTTATATAATTTATCAAATGTTAACTATCAAAAGGAATTACAAATCTTAATATGTTTGATGGTGAAAACCCACATCTTGTTATTATTGATGATCTAATGAGAGAGTCCGATGTAACTTTAAACTCGAACAGCGTTTTGTATTAGATTAAATAGAAGATTTATAAAGAAATAAAAAATAATATATAGCATACAATTTGTTTTATTTAATTTTATAACGATTTACATAGTTACATACACACAAAATGCATTACACATAATACATAAAATCTAACACACACCACATATTATAACCTTAACTATTATGGTCTACAGTAACATTTCTGTTTTTATCTATCTCAATAATATTATCAAACTCAGCATAAACTATACAGTTAATTGTTTGTATTTGTGAGGATTCAAATCGTACTTCTAATCTTACACTACCATGCTTTATGAGATTCCAATGAGCTAATGAGTTGGCTGATAAATCAGGAGTTAAATCAAATGCTAATAGACAGTAACCTTTGGCATACTGTTCACAAGAGATTCCATTTTCTTCATTAAGAAAGTGAATACCAGTTCCCGAGAATAGAGTATGCTGATGTAAATATACTATTATTAAAAGATGGTTGCAAAGATTTTGAAGGTATTTGTTGACCATCAATATATAAGCTGAAAGAATTAATAGAATAGTTGTCAAAATTAAATGGATTTTTAGTAAGGGAACCATTAAATGCAGAATTGGTCACAAATCCAAGTATACATCTTTTGGGTACCTGTCCTAAAAATATATTATCAAGAGTTTTTCCTTGAACACCCGATGTAATTGTTAAAACTTTTACTTCAGCTCGAGTAATAGGATATTTAGCAGTGGTAGAAGCTAAAACTTTTTGATGTGCGAGTAATACACTTGGATTAATTCGTGCTCGTCGAACAATAAGAGTTGCGTCCGTAATGCAAACTTCAAACTTTACGTCGTTTGACTCAGCAATTAAATTTATGATTAATTTAAAATTTTATTTTCAAGCAATAACCACTTGTAAAAAACCCACATTTCATCACAAGAACAATGTAAAATTTTGTGATTATTTTTTTTGCAAATATATGATTATTACACACATAACGTTTGTTTAAATTTATGACATTTACCAAATCATTGTATTTTGGACATTTGTATTCTTCAATATTAAAAATTCTATCATTATTCGTCAACATTTTTAAAAATTGTTTTTCTGCTGAACCACCTTTGTATGCGATCACTTCGTCTTTGCACAAATTTCTAATGTACCAATTTAATATGGGAATGATGTTCTCTTGTTTGTAGGCACATTTTAATTCTTCGGTCACGTCAAAATATGGATTGCCGTGCACGTATGTTTCGCAATAACGAACAGTTTTTTTTTGTCTTTTGGCAACAAATAATTGAAAGGATAAGTTGGCCGAAACAAATAATGATTGATTAACGCATAATTTTTATTAGATAGTTTCACGTCTAGAATAGCCATTTCTCTACATTGAAAATGTTTATGAGGATATGTAATGTAAAATCCGTCCATGTCGATGATGTATCTAATATTTTTTAGATTTTGTGTCATTTTGAACCAAAAAGTTAAAAGTATTTACACGTGACTAAAAATATGTTTGTTCCAACAAATTTCACATAACAATGCTTCATTAATTCCCATCATCCCATCTCTTCCTTCTGCTCTTGTCTTCCTGTAATTTAAGTAAACAGAATCACATTCACTAATGATCAAATAATGACTGTCATTATTAAAAAAGTATTTTTTAACTTTTTCACTTTCTGCTATTGTCTTTGTATTCAGAGCTAGGAAATGTCGAATGTTTTTCTTCACTGCTGAGCACGTGGTAAATCAGCACTTAAAATTGCAATTAACAATTTAATTGGTGCCGGTGAAATTGATAGCTTGCGCTAACCATCTGAGCTACCACGGCTTAATCATATACACACATAATATTTAAATATAATTTGTTAACACTAAATCTCGTAAGAAAATAACAGAAAGAAAAGTAAGTTTGTCAATAGAATAAACACTTACATCCATGGCCTTTGATGCGTAGAAGTAACACAAATGTAGTATTGATAGACCCACTGCGGTCAAACGACCATACACTAACTCCATGACTGCAGCTGCTCGGTCTTATAAAGTACCAGTAAGTAATAATTCTAATCTAAAGAATTTCTGCAGTGGAACTGATAGTACGAGTAAGTTTATGCATCAACAAGCTTATCTCACATTCTGTTGCTTATCTCAACATTCCTTCGTGTTGCGTCTTGTTCAGTGTATTGATGACTCAAATACGATTTGTATAATACAAAAGAATGCAATTTAATATTTAGAAATCACTATAATTGATCATTCCTATGTTAGTCATTGAGTAGATTGATACTGTAATAATCTACTAATAGCAGTAATATCATGGATACACTAGATCAGCGGTACTCTAAGTTTGTTCAGCGGAACCCTAGGATTCCGCGATACCCCTGTAGGGGTTCCGCAAAAATTTAAAAAAAATCAAAACACCTCTCTCTGGTCACTAGTCGAACGTTTTGACACCGCCCGCCGCGCGTATACTTGTGAACGCGCAGTCCCTTTGATAAAAGCCGCCTCCGAATTAGACGCTATAGTTGTGAACAAGCGACTTTCGGCTCTATCTTCAAAAACATAAAGTCGAGATTGTTTATAACGCATTTTTTTTGTATTTCTATTTTTATTTCCGCTTTTTGTTTATCAAAGGCGCCGACTCGAGTGTTTTTAAGAATTTCGAGTTTGAGTCTAGGACTAAGTATAAAAGCGGTGATCGCGCGTCGCGCCTCGTCAGTCAGTTGACGATTAGCGTTCGGAGCAATAAGTTCCTACCTACCTACTTACAAGCTGGCTAGCGAATTGCGGAGTTTAAACGTGATATGAAACTAGTGTTCATTGTTCTACTGCCTGCTGTATTCTGATTGTATCAGTTTTGTACATTTCTTCTTTGGACTAAACTTTTTCTCATAAACGCAGTAACGATTGTGCATTATTTTGACCCCACCGTCCTGATATGTAACATTATTAATAAAGAAGAATGGAACGTTGGCTTAAAGGCGTTAAGGGGATATAGTAAGTCAAATTCTCAAATTCTATAGCTCAAATTCTAATTTCGTCCCCATTTGCCCGCGCGTCGTATAATATGTACCGACATGTTTGTAATCACTAATACTGTAAGTAGAAAGGTCGTAAGACACTAATTTTATTAGGTTTATCATTTTTATGCCTGTTTCTTAACGCCAAGCCAGTGGCTTCTTACTTTTATTACGGTTATTTCCCATTTTAATTTTACGTCGTTCTGTTGCGTAATGTATATTCTGATCGTAAACGACACAACCTCCCCCTTCAAAGGCCGAAGCGAAGTGACCGGGTGGCAGGAATCACACTTCAAGAGTCTGATAGTTTAGGTAATTTCTTTTTACAGTGAAAATAATGGTCTTTTAAAAAAGTAAATAACATAAGCATTGCTTTATAGTTAGTTCAGTTAGTATGCAAAGTTTCATGAGCTTATTTAAAGTATTTTATGAATAACAGCGGTTTATTGTTTATTTTGGAGGTAACTTTGGATTTTTTTTTCTATGGACAAAATTTTAATAAATCGTATTTTCGTCTAACATAATCCTTAACATTAATCCTCAACTTTACCATATATTTATTTCAAAATTAATGCTGCAATATTTTCGGCATAACGAAGGATCTTGCTAAGCCATTTGAGATTATATTTTCCCTTAAACGTGTTGCAATAACATCTTCTAATGACGCTGAATGTTCAAAAGCAGTACGCGCGGAGAATACAGCAATTACCGATCAAGACGATGATGCCACGACATCAAGCTCCACGGTTTCAAAGACGAAAAATAGGAAGTATGATGAATCATATATCAGTTTCGGATTTGTTGATTCCAACGGCTCACCTCTCTGCATGTTATGTAGTAAACTGCTTCCTAATAGTTCCATGGCAGCTGCCAAATTGCGCAGACATTTAGAAACTGTACACCCCGAGTCTAAAGACAAGGATAAAGAATTTTTTGTTCGTAAAAAAGAACAGTTATTGGAAAGTCCAAAAAATATGATGCATGTAACACAAACTATCTATGAAAAGGCCAAAGAGGCATCATATTTAGTTAGCTATCGTATTGCACAAGCAGGTGAAGCACACAATATCGCTGAGAATTTAATAAAGCCATGTGTGTTAGACATAACAAAATGTATGCTCGATGAAAAATCTGCAAAGCATCTTTCTACTGTACCGCTATCAAACAATACTGTTTCACGGCGAATCCATGATCTGGCAAGCTACGTCAAACAAGAACTAGTTGCACGTCTACAAAAAACACGATTCGCCTTGCAAATGGATGAGTCAACTGATGTCACTGGTCTGGCTATCTTGCTGGTTATCGTGAGATATCCATATGAACGTTCTTTTGAAGAAGACATGCTTATGTGTTTACCGCTGCCCACAAACACTACCGGGGAAGAAATTTTTAATAAAATAAACATATTTTTTAAGGAAAATAATCTTAGTTGGAACGATTGCGTTGACATTTGTACGGATGGGGCCAAGGCGATGACAGGTAAAACAGCAGGAGCAGTATCAGGAATAAAAAATAAAGCGCCTAATTGTAGTTCCAGCCACTGTATTCTGCGATGAAGCAAATGCCGTCAAATCTAAAATTAGTTATGGATGAAGCGGTAGAAATAATTAATTTTATCAAATCACGACCACTACAATCCCGATTGTTCTCATTATTGTGTGAAGATTATGGCAGCAAACATAAAACACTGCAGCTCCATACAGAAGTGCGATGGCTGTCTCGGGGTAAAACTTTAACAAGGCTATTTGAACTTAGAGCCAAGTTACAAATGTTTCTTCTCAGCAGATACAATTTCTTTTAATTTGGAAGACCGTTTGTATGATAAAACTTGGTTATTCCGATTGTCTTTTATGGCGGATATTCAATACATACAGTCATCTAGATGAGTAGGTTCAAACATACAGTCACATTGAGATGCACCTCTTTTCTCGATTCGGATTTCAATTGCTTAATATATTTGCTATATAAGTTTCAGGGATGTTCAATGCATAGTTTTTCGAGTATATTTACAGGGAACACACTGTACACTGATAATTTAGTGGATGAGATGTTTCGCTCCTTTTTTATAGACAATAAGTAACAAGATTTTATATTTTGTAAATAAAAATTGTGACAAAATTAGGTAATGTGTTTTAGTGATGATTCAGATTAGCGTTGTAGATAGGAACAAAGAAGTACAATACAATAGCATTGATAAGCCGACGCATACGCCGAGGAAAAAGAGACAATGACGGTATTCAATGAACAATAGATAAATAGATAAGAACAATAGAGCGCTAATGACGGTGGAAGCCCTAACCATATCAATTAGATAAGAGTTAATTGATCTGCACATCTCCGGAACCGTGCATCTTACGCAAAAACGGACGCAGATTCGTGATCAGAGCATGACAAAACCTTTTTTTTTAGGATCGTGGGTCGACGAACGTTGTATCACTTCTTACTCAGTGAGCCAGAAGTGGTGCTACCTATCTACTAGGAGGTCTACAGAGCCGTGGTATCTCAGTGGTTAACGCTCGCTGTAAATATAACAGAATGCGAGTAACCCGGGTTCGATCCCCGCCAGCACCAATGAAATTGTTAATTGCAATTTTAAGTGCTGATTTACCACGTGCTCGGCGGTGAAGGAAAACATCGTGAGGAAACCTGCATGTCTGAGGAATAAGAAAAAAAATATTTCGAAGACATGTGAAGTTCGTCAACACGCATTTGGGCAGCGCGGCGGACATTTCCTTGCCCTAAACCCTCTCAGAAATGAGGGGAGGCCTGAGCCCAGCAGTGGGACGTATATAGGCTGTAAAAGAAAGAAGAAAGAAAGAAGGAGGTGCTTCTCAATGTAACTCTATATTTTTAATGTATGTTACGCCACATTTAGAACCAGAAATGTCACTAGTTGGAACTGAGGTAAAGTTATTTGAAGAGTATTTATACAACATCGAGAAAGGAGGTGCTTCTCAATGTAACTCTATGTTTTTAATGTACGTTACGCGACATTTAGAACCGAATATGTCGCTAGTTGAAACTGACGTAAAGTTATTTGAAGAGTATTTAGACAACATCGAGAAAGGAGGTGCATCTCAATGTGACTGCATGTTTTAATGTATGTTACGCGACATTTAGAACCGGAAATGTCGCTAGTTGAATCTGAGGTAAAGTTATTTGAAGAGTATTTAGACAACATCGAGAAAGGAGGTGCTTCTCAATGTGACTGCATGTTTTAATGTATGTTACGCGACATTTAGAACCGAATATGACGCTAGTTGAAACTGAGGTAAAGTTATTTGAAGAGTATTTAGACAATATCGAGAAAGGAGGTGCATCTCAATGTGACTGTATGTTTTAATGTGTGTTACGCGACATTTAGAACCGGAAATGTCGCTAGTTGAATCTGAGGTAAAGTTATTTGAAGAGTATTTAGACAACATCGAGAAAGGAGGTGCTTCTCAATGTGACTGCATGTTTTAATGTATGTTACGCGACATTTAGAACCGAATATGACGCTAGTTGAAACTGAAGTAAAGTTATTTGAAGAGTATTTAGACAATATCGAGAAAGGAGGTGCATCTCAATTTGACTGTATGTTTTAATGTATGTTACGCGACATTTAGAACCGGAAATGTCGCTAGTTGAATCTGAGGTAAAGTTATTTGAAGAGTATTTAGACAACATCGAGAAAGGAGGTGCTTCTCAATGTGACTGCATGTTTTAATGTATGTTACGCGACATTTAGAACCGGAAATGTCGCTAGTTGAATCTGAGGTAAAGTTATTTGAAGAGTATTTAGACAACATCGAGAAAAGAGGTGCATCTCAATGTGACTGTATGTTTTAATGTATGTTACGCGACATTTAGAACCGGAAATGTCGCTAGTTGAATCTGAGGTAAAGTTATTTGAAGAGTATTTAGACAACATCGAGAAAGGAGGTGCTTCTCAATGTGACTGCATGTTTTAATGTATGTTACGCGACATTTAGAACCGAATATGACGCTAGTTGAAACTGAGGTAAAGTTATTTGAAGAGTATTTAGACAACGTCGAGAAAAGAGGTGCATCTCAATGTGACTGCATGTTTTAATGTATGTTACGCGACATTTAGAACCGAATATGACGCTATTTGAATCTGAGGTAAAGTTATTTGAAGAGTATTTAGACAACATCGAGAAAGGAGGTGCATCTCAATGTGACTGCATGTTTTAATGTATGTTACGCGACATTTAGAACCGGAAATGTCGCTAGTTGAAACTGAGGTAAAGTTATTTGAAGAGTATTTAGACAACATCGAGAAAGGAGGTGCATCTCAATGTGACTGTATGTTTTAGATGTATGTGACGCGACATTTAGAACCGGAAATGTCGCTAGTTGAATCTGAGGTAAAGTTATTTGAAGAGTATTTAGACAACATCGAGAAAGGAGGTGCTTCTCAATGTGACTGCATGTTTTAATGTATGTTACGCGACATTTAGAACCGAATATGACGCTAGTTGAAACTGAGGTAAAGTTATTTGAAGAGTATTTAGACAACATCGAGAAAAGAGGTGCATCTCAATGTGACTGTATGTTTTAATGTATGTTACGCGACATTTAGAACCGGAAATGTCGCTAGTTGAATCTGAGGTAAAGTTATTTGAAGAGTATTTAGACAACATCGAGAAAGGAGGTGCATCTCAATGTGACTGCATGTTTTAATGTATGTTACGCGACATTTAGAACCGGAAATGTCGCTAGTTGAATCTGAGGTAAAGTTATTTGAAGAGTATTTAGACAACATCGAGAAAGGAGGTGCATCTCAATGTGACTGTATGTTTTAATGTATGTTACGCGACATTTAGAACCGGAAATGTCGCTAGTTGAATCTGAGGTAAAGTTATTTGAAGAGTATTTAGACAACATCGAGAAAGGAGGTGCTTCTCAATGTGACTGCATGTTTTAATGTATGTTACGCGACATTTAGAACCGAATATGACGCTAGTTGAAACTGAGGTAAAGTTATTTGAAGAGTATTTAGACAACATCGAGAAAAGAGGTGCATCTCAATGTGACTGCATGTTTTAATGTATGTTACGCGACATTTAGAACCGAATATGACGCTAGTTGAAACTGAGGTAAAGTTATTTGAAGAGTATTTAGACAACATCGAGAAAAGAGGTGCATCTCAATGTGACTCATGTTTAATGTATGTTACGCGACATTTAGAACCGGAAATGTCGCTAGTTGAAACTGAGGTAAAGTTATTTGAAGAGTATTTAGACAACATCGAGAAAAGAGGTGCATCTCAATGTGACTGTATGTTTTAATGTATGTTACGCGACATTTAGAACCGGAAATGTCGCTAGTTGAAACTGAGGTAAAGTTATTTGAAGAGTATTTAGACAACATCGAGAAAGGAGGTGCATCTCAATGTGACTGTATGTTTTAATGTATGTTACGCGACATTTAGAACCGGAAATGTCGCTAGTTGAATCTGAGGTAAAGTTATTTGAAGAGTATTTAGACAACATCGAGAAAGGAGGTGCTTCTCAATGTGACTGCATGCTTTAATGTATGTTACGCGACATTTAGAACCGAATATGACGCTAGTTGAAACTGAGGTAAAGTTATTTGAAGAGTATTTAGACAACATCGAGAAAAGAGGTGCATCTCAATGTGACTGTATGTTTTAATGTATGTTACGCGACATTTAGAACCGAATATGTCGCTAGTTGAAACTGAGGTAAAGTTATTTGAAGAGTATTTAGACAACATCGAGAAAGGAGGTGCTTCTCAATGTGACTGCATGTTTTAATGTATGTTACGCGACATTTAGAACCGGAAATGTCGCTAGTTGAAACTGAGGTAAAGTTATTTGAAGAGTATTTAGACAACATCGAGAAAGGAGGTGCATCTCAATGTGACTGTATGTTTTAATGTATGTTACGCGACATTTAGAACCGGAAATGTCGCTAGTTGAATCTGAGGTAAAGTTATTTGAAGAGTATTTAGACAACATCGAGAAAGGAGGTGCTTCTCAATGTGACTGCATGTTTTAATGTATGTTACGCGACATTTAGAACCGAATATGACGCTAGTCGAAACTGAGGTAAAGTTATTTGAAGAGTATTTAGACAATATCGAGAAAGGAGGTGCATCTCAATGTGACTGCATGTTTTAATGTATGTTACGCGACATTTAGAACCGGAAATGTCGCTAGTTGAATCTGAGGTAAAGTTATTTGAAGAGTATTTAGACAATATCGAGAAAGGAGGTGCATCTCAATGTGACTGTATGGTTTAATGTACGTTACGCGACATTTAGAACCGAATATGTCGCTAGTTGGAACTGAGGTAAAGTTATTTGTTATACAATGTTAGTAAATTGAGAAGTTACGTTTTACATAAAGAAAAACAATGGCTCAATTCGCTGTTAAATTTTTTTGTTAACTTTTTTTTTAATTTTTCTACTTTTAATAATATCAACTAGTGTGGTTTATTGATTTTAATCTAATTATATAAAGATATAACTAATATTACAGAAAGAAACATTACATTAACCCTTACATTTTCCTAACAAATCGCCGCGT